ATCGCCGGTTTCAAGATAGAGCGTCCTCGCCTTTACTCTTTCCTCTTTTTCCACCTTTCGCTCTCCCTCTGTTAATAATTATCGTACAAAAACTCGTTTGCAAGCTCGTCCGCAAGCCTGCGTGCATGGCAGTATTCTCGGTAAGTAGACAGCGTAAATACGATATGATACATAGCGGGGTATCGTTCGGGGCCGTCCCTGAGCGGCCGCGGTGGCCGTTATAACCCTTCCGTGACAACGAAAGGCTCGAAAACACGGTGTCCTAAAGGGAACGACGTTTCCTAAACGTCGAGGTTTAACAGGGGAAGGAACAGGGGGCTAAACGTTCACCCCGTTCGCGTCGCTAGCATGCGCTCGCACCCCGGGATACGTTCGCCGTATCGCCATACGTCGTGATAACGTTGACGTATTTTTACGCGTCTGTTTGTATCGCGGTGTTCGATCCGATTTCACCACAAGACTGCCGCGAATTGATACAACGACGCTAACTGACGACAATGGTTATTAGATCGATCGATCGACTGTGGATCTACGAAGACCTGAAGTAGAGATCGTCAAGTAAAAGTCTTTGGGCACTCAGTTGTCTGTTTACGAGACAAATACGGCAGCGTATGCAGAGGGCATATGCCAGAATTTTATTTGAGGAGGGACGAAATTAAAGTTGATACTTTTGAACTCGGGGGGGGAGGAGAGGATTTATTGGAATTGTTATATTATTATATTTTTTAAATTAATTTACTTGCAGATAAATCACAAAATCACACATATTTAATTTACTTTTTCTTTGAAAATTTTAAGTTGATCTTCGGAACTGGAAAAGCTGAAATTTTTCACACCAGCCATCTCGGATACTCAGAAAATTTTCCATAACTTCCTAATTCTATCTTCTTTTTCAAAATTAGTTTCTTATAAATCATTAAGCATAGTTTGTTTAAGCGGTTTTAATTGTTTTTGTTCCTTAAGATTTAGGGAGGCCATGGCCGAGCTATTTGAGTTATGGCAGAGCTAAAGACGGAGGTGTTACGACGTAATCAAGACTGTTCGCCAATTCTTTTTCAATTGATATCATAGCTAAATCGCATGACCGCGTCTGTGTCATTGTTTATTTCTCAGTTAATTCTTTATTATTCTTAATTTTGAAAAAGATGCCTCTGCGACTGCCACAGATATATTGGCGCAGTTAATAAAATCCATAACGCTATTGCTAAATTTGAAAAGATTTCCAGAAAACCACTTTCAGCTAATTCATTAAAAATATCAAGGTAGAGCTTTATATTTACAAGAGCAGCGCTGCCTGTTAAAATTTTGCGCCGTACGCTGGAGCGTACCTGTTTAGTGCCTCGTTTAACGCCTCCGGCTACAGGTTGAATCACATAGAGCTTATAAAAGCTCATATACTCTGCAATACACCGAGCCAAATATTTATTGGCCGCCATATTTATTTCCAGGCTCTTACTTAAGGATCTCTAACTCAAAAGTATGAGGCCTGTTCTTTTTGAACTGAACCTCTCGCACGTTCATCTTCTATTCTCTCTTTTTTTTTTTGTTCAACGTAGAGAGAAAAAGAAGAAAGGTGAACTGTGCAAGAAAAGTTCAGCTCAAAAGAATAGACTTCTTGTCTATTAGGAGTTCGAGGATCCGTGGATCCCGCTCGAAAAGTCGAAGAAGCGAAAATTCACACAGGGATTTAAGGATCTACAGGAGTCCTGGGATTTGATAGAAATCCGACTGTCCCGTTCTCCGAGAGGATCCATGGATGCGAAAAAGAATAGGACCCTGAAATCGATGAATTTCGAGATGGTAAGATTCGGGGATGGATTCCTTTATTCCGAAAATGCTTCCTCGTTCGGAGTAATCGATATTATTACTGTCGTTGATTGAAACGGGTGATCAGCATTGCGTCTAGTTTTATTACCGTCGTCGCTTTGGAGGGAAAGGATTTTGGACTTTACGTTTACGATTGTATAAAATCGTACTTGTCGTATATATAAAATCGTACAATTCCTCGAGGGAATGGCGAAGTCTTGTTTTAAGGGTCGGTGCGGAGCGTTTTTAATAACGTCATTAAGTTCCTATTAATTCTACAGAACGGCGCGTGGGATATGCAATTAAATGCATAATTACTGATCGTCTTATTCACCAACGGTGAAGTCACAATTTTTTTCTCGGCCGAGACACAAAATCGAATAATTTCTTGCCAATACGATTGCTTGGATAACAATGGAAAGAACGATCGATTAAAACGCGATTTTATTTGCATATATTTGCGTCGCTCGCATGACAGTCGCATGATCTCACATGGGTGCAATTTCATCGTTGCCTTAATACTCGAAGTAGGTTCCTCGAAATCTCTACCTCTCCTCCGCCTCTCCTCGCGCCCCTCCATCTCTCAATAAATTTATTTAGATTACTTGGTACGAGATTAACCATTTATTTGGTACGATTAACGCTCTTCTAACCCGTAAAATTGTCCCGCTACGTCCACGGACGATTACTCAATAAATAATAGGCTATCCTGGCATTCTGAGGCCGTGCGATCGTGAGTGCTCGGTCGTCCTCTCGCGTCGTTCCCTCGGCGAGAGCTTTCTTCGTGCCTCCCGTACGATCGCTATAAAGTAACCGATCGGACACTTTTCTTCCTGCCCCTCTTCCCTTCCCGCCTCCCCGCCTCCCCCCCTACCCCTTTTCACATCTGCAGATTGGCGATCTTGTTAGAGCTTACGTACGCGAACGAATCCTTGGGATCCTCCGGATCCCGCGAATCCCCGTCGATCCTCGGATCGTTTAAGTCCCATGGATCTCTGATCTCGCGGATTCCCGGTCACCACCCGGATTCCCTTCGGATTCTTCAAGTTTTCCCCGCCCTCCTCCCCTTCCCCCTTCATTTCCCCGCGCACAATAAATGTCCTTTCGGAGAGTCCGATCGACCGTGCCTACCCGCGTTGCGTCGTCGTTGTCGCCGCCGCTCGAGGACGATAGGAGACGGCCCCCAAGGAGAAATTCCTATAGACGCACCTGCCGCAGATACGAGACGATGCGACGCGATGAGGACTTTTACAGGTGCCACTTGGCTATCAGTATCATGATCAGGTGGGGCGCAAGGGTGGCCAGCGACGCGCCGCCCGTCACCCGGACGTCGCTATCCTTGAGGAACACAGAGCCGATCACGTGGATGATGCCGTTGGTGCACTCGACGTCCGGACGGATGACGCGGATCTTCTTGCCCTCCCACTCCACTTGGTAGCCTGAAAAGAGAGAGACTCGACGGTGATCTTTGAACGAGAATCTCGGGGAAACCGCATGATGCGTATAAGTGAAGCGGTACTGCGATGCAGAATACAAAGCTCTCCCCCGCCGAATATCTCGAATGAAAAATTCGATGATGGGAGAATAGTCTATATAGAGATCCTAAAATAAACGTCGTGAGATGCTAAAAAGAGAAATCGAATAAATTAAAAAAAAAAAAAAATGAAATAGAGAGAATCAACTTTCTAATAACGTTTCGATGAACTAAATTCAGCGACAGTATCTAGTGAGAAACATAAATGGCGCCATTAATACGATCGCAAATAAAGTTTCCATTTGGCGTGCACTGAAAAAAGGGTGTCGTCTGGTAACAGCTACCATACGTTGAGTGAAATAATTTCAATCAAATGTTCGGTTAATATAATCCAAAAGAAATTATATTCTTCTAAATACTTAGTAAGTATTACCAGACATAATAATATAACCTTTAATAATTTTACTTCCCTCAATATGTACCTTCCTAATTATTAACAAATAATTAGTTTGTTAATATTGTAATTAGGAAAGTATATATTGAGGAAAGTAAAATTATAGTTACAATAACTAAACATTTGATTGAAACTGTTTTACGTCGTCTACAATATGTGGAGTAAGCTCGATGTAAGAAGCAACAGCAAATTGATCCATCACAGTCGATCGCAGTTCTCACATTCGACTGTGATTCGTCAATTTCTTACTCTTATATCAAGTATCATAGCTTACTTCGCATATTGTAGACGACATGTTTCACTCAATATTTAGCTATTAGTTGGTTTCCATTTACGCTGATTCTCAGATAATTCTCGCTTGTGACACGTAATAATTCAGTTGAATGCATGTTTCTTTTGCATTCTGACAAGTGAGATTTAACTGAGTTTTTATCTACACAAAATATCTATCTGCAAATCGAGATTGTGTGCTTAAAGCCCAGTTTCACCACTCATGGTTACCCTTAACCGAGGTTTAACTTACTCTTCATCTCTTAATAATGCTAGAATTGGAAAGAGATGAGAATAAGTTGAGTCTCGGCTAAGCGTTAACCGTGAGTTGTGAAACTGAGCCTTAGCGAGTCTCGTAAATTCACTTCAAAGTGAGATTATGAACCTGTGCTGACATCAGTGATAAGCCTTTTTACCAACGGCTGTGCTCCAAATTTACTGTTAGCACTGAGAATGCTACAGTTTACGTTACGAGCACTTTTCAGTGCTGTGTGGCAGTAAATTTTGGAACACAGCTAAAGTAAGAACGACAAGTAGTGACGTCATTAATCTAAGTATAATATACTCAGCTCACGTCAGACTTAGTTTCACTTGTGTGCAAATGGAAAGCAACTATTATCAAACTTTTTTCAATATGTTGTCGTTGTATTTCGACAAATACGGAAGTAACACTCTTGTTGTTCTTCCAACAGCACTTTGTATGTTTAAGCGTCTTCGCCCAGCTTAAGGGTCTACTGAACTCAATCTTTTTCTCGCTCTCCTCCGGTGCCCCTTTGCGGGATTGTAAAACAGAGCGGTAAAAGCGACGGTCGCGAGCTTAGGAAACGCCTCGGAAATTTGCTCGCATAGGCGAGAGTGAATAACCGGGAGAGCACGTAGCAATTAGCGCCGGGGGTAATCAAGGAATTTGCATTTAAATGGTGGTCGAAAGGTGCATAATAAATCGCCTTGCGGTTCCGGCACATAATGGCGCGCGCATTCGTTTCCGGCTTCCGCGTTCGAGAGGTGCTCGAGAGGCGACATATTTTTCGCAAAGCGGCGAGTCATTGCTGCGAGTTTCATTTTCGATAATGCGGAAAAATCCCAGCGCGCGGTGACCAGATATTCATCATACTCTGGCGTCAAAACGCGGGACCGTGAAAGGAACTGTTTAGAGGATGGGGGTTGTGCTGCATCCGTTCGAGAATTTCCTGGACTTTACCGCGACGCGACGGAAGTTGGACTCGCTGCATCTCACGGCAATACATACGGAAATGAAGCCCCCTTTCGAGTAGTTTATTTGCGTTGAAATTGCGCGAAAAATACGTACCACGTGGAAAGATGATTTTGCTAAAGTATCGAAAAATTGAAATATAGATCTGATCTAGATACAGATCTCTCTGATCTAGGTGAAAGAAAACCGACAAATGAAATACTATGAAATAATCTCATTGGACCATCAAAGTAATTATATAAGAAACTCACAAATCTATCCCTGGTGGAAAAATTTCGCTGAAATTATTTCACGTTTTTTGGAACACTTTTCAGCAAAATTTTAGCGGTTCAGAAAAATTTCAGTTTAATTTTAGCGGTATTAGCTGAAAAATTTACTTTCAGTGAAATTTCAGAAAATTTTCAGCAATTCGCTGAAATGTTCCAAAATGTGGAGTAATTCCAGCAAAATTTGTTCACCAGGGAATAAGCAGTGCTATAAAAAGTTTTAATATTTTAGCAATCAGTTTGAGCGACCTACATAATTACAATATTTTTGATAATTCAATAAAATTATTTTTTCAGGTTCGTTATATCTAAACTTTTCAGGTTTCATATACCTAAACTTTATAGATATTTCAGCAAAACCTGTACAGAATAGCCGAGACAAGTCCTCGATCGTTACGTCATTTGTTACCTGAATATTTCCAAGAGTTTCCAATTTAAATCGAGCGAAATATTACAAGCACTTTTACATTTCGATCGTTTCGATTAGTAGATGGCCTCATTAATATTTGGATGCCATTTTGTTTCTCCCGTAGGTGAATTTGTTGAAACAACACGCGGTCGAATCAACCGGGAAAGTAATTAGTATCGATCCCCGCATAACAAATTACTGTCGCTTTAATGTTAATACAATGGCGGGCAGCTGGCTTTCGACCGCTTAATGTATAGAACACGACTAGATATTAAGGGATTAATATCTCCGTTCATACATATAGTCTACAAGTGTAACGATTGCAAATCATTTTCTCTTTTATGGGACAGCTGACGTACGTCTCTCGGACCGAGTAGAATTTTATATCCTCGCTACCGGATGATTTCTCTATAAGATTTTTCAAAGTTCCTTATCCTTATCACCACGTGTCGCACGTTTACGCAGGCTGAGGTCATACGATAAATAGTAATCCAACCACAAAATGGTGAGGAGGGGCGACGTTCCTCGTTTTGCGACAAAGGTAATGATATCCTATTGCTGTTGTTGTCGCAATTAATTTACGCGTAACAATGGCGTTCTGCTCGTCGTAATTAATTCCGCCGTTCACAATGAGTATTGTTGCCCTCGCCGCAATTAATACGCTTTTGTTTCTCGCGCACCCGCGCGCGCTTCGCTCTCACTCCGCGTTGTCGCTTTCCACCCCTCTCTTTCTCACCGCTTTTATACTCCGTCGTTTCCTTTTTATTTCAATTCAGTGATTTTTGACTCCGCGACTAAATTCCCCGCTGGGGTCCCGCTTGCGACTGTAACGAAAATTCCGGCGTGAATGCGTCCCGCAGGTATGAGAGTCCCGGTTCTAATTGATCGTGAAAATCGGGACGGTTTTGATTTTCCGGTCCGTCCATTGAGAGCCCGTGTATTATTTAACAGTGAGTTCGATTATGATAAGACAGGGACTCTCAAGCACTCAGAGAAAGATTTCTTCGATTTAAAGAAATGTTACACTGATCGTGAGAAAAATGGTCTGGTTGGAATTAAATAGTAATTCTGATGGAAAATGAACGAATCAGAATTTTCTGGTTAAATCTACTAGAACTCTAGCAGAGATAACTAGAATTCTAATTGATATAATTATTCTGGTAAAAATAAGAATTCTAGTAGATTTTACCAGAAATATTATATCAAAAATTCCGGTTATATCAACTAGAGTTCTACAATAAATAATAAATTTAATCGGAAAATTCTAATTCGTCCATTTTCAACCAGAAATTTTTTTCAGTGTTTTTTTTTCTTGCCGTACGGTTAAAGAAAAAATTTCATCGATTCGAACGTCATTTCGTTGATTGAAACATTGTTTAAAATGAAATAAAAAAAAATTTCATTTAAGGGAATTATGTTCAAATCCAAGAAATTTTTTTCTTCAACCGTATAGCGAAGAAACATTTCTTTAAATCGAAGAAACCTTTCTGTGGATGTTGCAGAAGTGACGAGGAAGACTTTCAAAACGAAAGATTTATAGCTAATATCGCGGTTTGAGAACGTCTGCAATGTACAGATGCAATGTATAATTCAACTGCGATGCAATATATATCCCAAATAATACAAAAATAATTAAACGAAGCATCGACGGCTGGTCACTAATCTCCGTGCGAACGAGGTCTCTGCGTAGTCTCTACGCGCCGAGCGAAGTTCGTTTCATTTCGAAGGGGCGTTGCTTTTTCCCCGCGTTAGATCCTTCGTATGCGTAAGCGTATAAGCGTCAGCGTAAGCGCACAAGCTCGGCGTATGATCATACACAGAAAACAAATCAGAATCGTTGCACGAAAGGCAGCACCCAAGGATCTAAAGATAAGTACCAAGATTTAGCGAGCGTAAGATTTTTCAGGATCCACAGTTCCTGGGATGTTGAGCCCTCTTTCGTTTTTTCACGCGGATGTTCTTCAAAGCGCCTTATATTTAATTGAAGCTACAGTTTTACATAAAATTATCGAATTTAACCCTGGAATACAATTCATATTTTTTTTTGCATTAATTATTTTAAGTGAAAATTCATTCATATAATTAAAAACTTTTTTGTATCTACTTTATAGATTGAAAGGTGAATAAAGTTAAAATAATTGAACTAACACACTGTTTCAATGTAAAAAATGAATTTTAATGTTAATCTTATTAACCCTTTGTGGATAAGTAATTCCATTTGAGAGCATCCCTTTTTGTTTTGTAAACTATCACTTGTTAAATTTTTATGAAACTTGGCCTATAAGATAATTTGATATTACTTTATACTCGAAGTTAAAAATAACAAAATTGACATAATGCATCCAATATGGCGGACAGAATTTAAAAAATAATATATTTGATTATTAATAAAATTCGCTTTTAGCAAATTTTTAATTGCGAAATAATATCAAGTTTCAAGTTTTGCTTACTTGAAGCTTATCAGTGATACAAACAGTTGGTATTTATTTTCAAACTGTGATTGCGAGCCTTTGATACTAGATTCTCTATCATTGAAAGTTAACAGATTTTTGAAACTTAATATATATATATATTTTTTTCAGGCTATATTCAAACTCAAAGAACTTAATTTCACGATAATTAGATTATTTTTTTGTAATTTGAATTCTGAGACTAGATTTCAAATTCGGATTTCGCAAACCCTTGGAACAAGGTCTTCTTTAAGTTTTTTTTTAATTCAGAATGCTTCCATTCCCCTCAAAGGGTTAAATGTTATTTGAAGCTATTAAAATTTTAATAAAACAACAAAATTACTACATAATCTATTAAAATCTACTATATAATCTACTAAATAATTGACTAAAAAAATTCACCCACAATAACATTCTAGGGTTAAACGTTAAGAATATGAAATATTCCGATATCATTAAATATCGTACATTGAATTTACGCAATTTACGCATCCCAGAGTCCACAGATCCGGCAATTATACGGAAAACGAACTTCGCTGGGACACGAGTTTCATCCTCCCGCGCGCACAGACGTAACACGGCATGTACGCGCGAGTGCGTAACGCGGTGCGTAAGAAGGGTGCACTCCTTCGGTAGGTCGCAATTTACAGTAACTGTGCTGCTCGTACAAAGTGAAAGCGCTCGTGTCGTCGCTCGTCGGCGACGTTTAAACACACACTTAGCTCACTCACCGGATGTTTCTGGACGGATTGCGTTTTCGTCGTACCTCTCATCTACATGTAATCAGACAGCACCAGGTTTGAGAGTGTCGGTGACAGGCGCGGGGACGCGGCATCTCCCCGTGACGGTTCCCCGTCTCCAATCCGCGATAACACAATCGCGAGACAAGATATTCGAGCTATCGCTCTAGATAGCTAATGTTTGAGCAAAGGAACGGCGAGTTTGTGAACACCGAGGAAACTGTCCCTAACGTTTTTCTCTAACGTATCCCGAATTCGCGCGTCCAGATTACGCTCGCGCGAATATACGAAACTTGCGAAATTTTTGCGAAACGTTTTTCCGACTGCCTAAGTTAACATTGAGATGCGACAGATGTATCGTTCTTTTTTTTTTTTTCGAAACTTGTTTACTCACTTTCGCTGTGCTCCTTGATACGAAGCTTTAAATTGTCCCTGGCCGCTGGGAGGTTGAGGGTGTCGTTGCTCATCTCTTTCAGCTTCGCCATCGTGTACGCCTGATCCGCTATTATGAGATGTCGCTCCAATATCTGCTTCGTCTGTAAACGAATTATATATACTTTTGCAGTTGGACGTACATTGAGATCTTCTCGGACTCCTCGTGCTGTCATATATTTGAGAAAATAATGGAAATCTAAAGAATCCTGCACTAATCGTAAGGAGAAAGTAGTTTGAATCAAATTGGCTGAAACTATGATACTTTATAGATTATGAAACAACATTAAGCTTTCAGGTGTGATCAAAAGTTTCCATAACTATCAAGGGATGGACAGATTTCGAAAGTTGCTATTTTGAGTCGAATCGAACTAAAAAGCATCTTTATCTACTAAACTATTTTTAACTTTAATACTTTTCATGCGTATGATAATAAGATAAATCAATCGAGAATGTGAAAAAAATATATAGCTGTTAAAAAGAATTATGCAATTCGCAATATTCTTTTAAAAAACAATTATGTGTTTTCTTCAGACTAATTGATTTATCTTATTATTTCGTACATAAAAGTATTTAGGTACAGTTACTAACAAATAAATAGTTTGATAGATAAAGGTACTTTTTTTGGTCCACTTAGAAAATAACAACTTCCAAATTACGTTACAGTAAAATCTGACGATCTTTGATGGCGTTCATGAAGGCTTTAGAATTTCTCTAAATTTAGAATATTACAGTTTTTCAGTCAATTTAACCGAATCCGCTTTTTCTATACGATTAGTACAGGACCCTTTTGTTTGTGACCTGGAGAAAGAGAGAGAAAGAGAAGACTCGATGGTAAAAAGGTACAACCATTTAAAAATTTAACGATCCAATAAGGGAAGGAGATTAAGAGATGCACAGCTCTGACAGCAATAATCTCGGATATAAAAGTTTAAGATGCAGTACGCGCGCATCTGGGAAGTTTACTCACGTGATAACTGAACTCGGGCATGAAGAGCTTCTTAGTAGTTGATGGATAGTTATTCGCTGCGTCTTTCCAGGCGTAATCGTACGGGGCGAAGTACGTGAATCGCTTCTTCGTATCGTTCAACTGATCATTGAATCCACGTCGCTGACCCAGCAAATAGGTCGAGCTGAAAAAGACGGGGAGAAATATCGGCGATGAATTACGTGGCGATGAAACGGGCGACGATTTCACACCGGGGCGGTGTTTTAAGGACGGAGGTTGTAAATAACGCTTCCGATAATCGCGCCTCATTCGCGTTGCTTAAATCGTTTTAATTGAATCAGGAGCGGTACGAGTTAAGCGCAGCGCGAAAATTTTTTAGCGGCGGGGGATTGCGAGAGTACACCGTAGTAACAACGCGATGTTTACTCTATCCTCGCTTCTCCGGGCGGTCTCACCTTCCCGCTGCCTCTCTTACGGGATTTAATCCGCCCTCCACCTCCCGCGAGTTGATCTCTCCGCTCTTTATAAAGCCGCCCGTCGTATCTTCCGAGTCTGGCGGAGAACTCCACGCGAGAACCCGTCCGCGGGTTATCAATTATAATTTTAAATTAGGAGATAATCCGCAGCTTTCTTCGCACGGAAAGCCGCCGGCGGTATGATGAGGCACGATTGTTGGCCGGTTATTTGGATCAGCGTACATAAACAATCTCCCATTTCTCTCAGAAAACCGTTAGTTGTTGTTGCATCTTACAAGGATCCTGTCGCAATTGTTTGGAACTGATTCGATTCTGGAAATATGCTGTTGAATAACAAATCCAAGAGACACGTATTTTTTTTTGCATCAACCCAATTTGAGATTTAAGCGGTGAAATAATTACAGTTAAACACTTAATAGGGGAATAGAGGTATTTTTAAAATATTGGATTTTAAACAATTTCAATACATGGTATATATAAAAAAAACCATAAAAGTTTTATCTAAAACATTTTTTTATATGTATCTCTCACTGTTTTGTTGATAAGACTGTTTTTGTTGAGAATTTCTTAAATATATTCAAGTGCTAATTTAACGTAATATGATTATTTAAATAGTTTGTGTTAAATTAATATTCAATATTTCTTAGTGTCAAAATAATACAATTTGTGAATAAGCAAACAAATTATACATAAAAATAATGTATTTTAAAATTTAAATTCTAATATGAATAAATAAAATATGTATTACTTCACCATGTTATAAATGCTAATTTTACTGAAAATAATTCCACAGTTTGTTTACAAACTGTGTCAGTATTATCTTTTTTTGGTGTTTATCTTCCTAAATAATATTTGCGTCATCTTTTAACGCATTCATTTTGTATTACATTAACATATAAATTTGAGTGGACCGAGACATGTGAGATGTGTCAAAGTTAACTTAAATTTTCCAATGGTGTGTCTCTTAGTTTGTATTGAATAACATCTATCAAGGAGAATTGAATCAATTTATTGACAAGTCTCTTGTTAGACCTCATAGACTTTAGACTCTAAATGAATCGCGAATCTTCTAAAATCCTAGGAATCTACGTCGACAAATCTGTTAAGGCGTCTCCGGACGATTTGGCCAACATAAGGCAATTTTGCACACATTCACTAAATTGATCTACATTCATGAATCAACAATTATGCATCTCGTGTGTCCGTATCTTTGAAAATCTCGCGCACATTAGCCACATCGTCTGCTGGCACCTTTAGAAATTAAATTCTTAAAATCATTCACGAATGCTTTAGGACGTGCACTTTTTGGATTTCAATAAATTCTCTAGAAATCTCGACACCTCGATGCCTTAACCTCAGAAACTAATCGTCTGCGGAAGTTCACGAATCTCGGGATTCTCCTAATCTCCCGGATTGTAGGACGCCAGAGTTAAACGGGGCGAGTTCTAGATGCGCCGTGAATTCGTACTCCGAGCCGAGGTATGTTCTAGCCCGGGTAATCTTGCCGAGTGAGTTTATTCGCTTTTTTTTGCACGGCGCTTCGCGTGCCGACCGTTAAATTGGACAAGGAGGCAATATCGGCACGTGGAGAGGGACGCGCCCGACTGCGAATTTAATAGGTACGACGTGGTGCCCTGCGGAACCGTACAATTCCAGGCGTAAGACTTTGGCACAGTTATAGTTTTTTACGTCGACGGCACCGCCATGGCGGGGCCGACGGGGTCCGCGGTAATTGGAATGGGGATTTGTTGCGTTATTTTAATTAAAATTCGAACGAGAGCGAGAGGAAGCGGAGGGCGAGGAAGCGAGACGGGGGTTGGGGTCGAGGGGTCGTGCGGAAGAAAAGTTCGCGAAGTCACGCGCGGATAAGATTCTCTTTCAGGAATGGATAAGACGTAGCCGGTGATGGTGTTGTCTTGCGCAAGATCGCGTCTACACGTGGATGAAAATGTTCGCACGTGTTCGCGCGTGACCGATCCACGTGCGTCCAATGACGTGCGCAGGATCAGGTTTTCGCAATCACCGAGATAGAGATATTTTTCTCGCGGGGGGGACGAATCATCGTCCGGTATATCATTTCGTCGTGCGAACAGAAAATCGGGATCCTGCATTTTATTTCTCCCGCGGAAGGAGGGAGTACGAAATGGGGTGGAAATTCCGGATCGCCTCGGCGCGAGACGATTTACATAATTCCTATTCACATTACTCTGGAACGTAAAATTAAAGATTTAAATACAACGAAAACGCGAACTCGTGGAATTAAACGGAATTTGACATTACTCTATCGGGTAATGGACCGTTCTCTTATGCGCCCGTCCGCATTTGCGTGTTTTTTAAAATGCCGCTGGTACAACGCTCGAGATCCTTCATAAAACCAGAGAGTCGATGATCCGAGTCGCTTTGCATAAAAGATGAATAAAGATGAGGAAGAAGGTAAGGGACTCACTTGAGCATCGGATCAGTCCTGAGTTTGTCGAGGACGGTGGTGTAGGGTACCCCGAGAAGCCTGTCGATTATGTGGATAATCCCGTTGGTGGCGGCGATGTTGGCGGTGATGATGGTGGCGTTCACGCCACCGCCTTCCACAGTGACGGTCTGGTTCTCCATCGGTCCCTGCACCACGTTGAAGTAGAGCTTCTTCTTCTCAGCGGCGGTCGCCACCTGCAAGAATCCGAGCGGAGCTCCATGAACGAAACGCTCGCGGCGCTTTAAGAATTGTATGCATACATCGAAATTGCGTCAAACAGCAAAGAAGTGAAAGATAGGTAGACAGATGGAGGCTTTTATTAATATTGTAGGGCGAGTCTTCTAAGAGCAAAAAATTGACCAAAAAAGAAAGTGGAAGTGTAAATAAGCAGAATGAAAACACTGTAGAAAGTGCAGTGTTTAAAATGTTCACGTAGACGTTTTAAAACATCTTTGCAAAACAAACATTCAATTTTAAACGTTTTAGCGTTTTTCGTTTATTCAAAAAGTTTAAAACTTAAACATCTTCTAAGTGTTCAAAAACGGAGACAAGAATAGAACGTTTCAATATCGTAAAATTAAACACTTCTGTTTTAAATGGAGAAAGTAAAATAATAACCAAAAAAATAATAATGCAGAATAATATGAGATAGAAGATAAAAACAATTAAAAAATGTTAAAAGAATTGAAAATATAGCAGAAAAAGTTGACAAGTGCCCGTTTTTTCCACTAATATAAATTAACTTTAATCTCGGTTGAACTCATATCTTTCTCTAATTTTTAGAACTAAAAAAAATGAAGAGTAATTTGAACCGAGATTAAAATTAATCCGTATTAATAGAAATGATCAAGGTAAAGAGACATAATAGAGGACAGATAAAAAGACATAGCTCTTTTCACGCACAAAAAAGATGCACACACAAGGAAGATGCCAGTGAATTCTTCGAAGGCACGTGTGGTCGACTCTCATCGCTCAAATCGGACTGCTTTAATGAATAATCCGTCGAGCGGACCAAAGCAATTTTAATTCATGTAATCTCGACAATTTATGTAATTAAAGCAAAGATATTTCACACGAACGATGAACAAGAAGCGAGCCGCAACGCGGAAATTCGAGCGTAGAAATCTGTTCGAGAGGATCCTTGTGCCTGTAACGTTTTCGAAGAATTACATACAAGTCGATTTCGTGCACAAACAGGAGCCATCACATAGCGCAGACATTTAGATTCGCAGAGAGGAGTCGGGAATTAAAAGTTATGCGCGTCTCTCCATACATAAAGATAGGCTGAAGAAGCGAAGTTCGAGACGTCAAGTAATTAAAAGTATAAACTTCCTTATGGAGTTTAGTGCACACGACAACGAGACGTACTAATAAATATCGATAGGGGAGTCAGGAATTTTCGACGAGAAAAGCCTGCAAAGATCAGCGAGTCATGCCTCAGGTTAGGTTTTTTACGTTCATTATTTTACGTTCATCGTGCGTTTATTACGTTGCCATAATATTTTTTAATTATCTTCGTTTGATGGAATAGTTTCCCATAATCGTTGTAGAACAAAGCCCATGAACCAAAGTTACGTCTTTGAGGCTCTGAGTGAAAAATGATACGATCCGCGATTGTGAAAGTAAACGTGTTTATTATACCGCAATTACGACGTCAAAGGGAAGCCATCAGCGCGACAATCTTCGGATGAAAATCGTGCAATCGCGAGGCACGAAACGTTCCCTGGAGCACTTCCGAGTCCGCTTTCTTGGGCGGACACGTAATTTGATCTTAAAAGACAGCCGCGACGGGATTCTAGGCGGTGGCGACGTCGAGGCGAAACGAATCTCTTTCGATCCACCGGATTATCCGGACGATGCGGCGTACGTTGTGCTTCAGCCGGCAGTGCGAGTCTTTAACTTGCAAATATCGTCCGGATTGCAAATCGACACCCTCCCTTCCGACTTGTTCTCCTCGTTTCCCTCTTGGCCTTTGCTACGTCTCTTTCTCTCTCTCTCTCTCTCTCTCTCTCTCTCTCTTCTCATTCTCTCCTCAATCGTTGATGTCGAGATGGAAAAGCTTGGTATAGAGAGCGCCAAGAGGCAACGATCCCTTTTCCGGCTGATCCAGCTCTCATGAATTTCCCGGCGTGCACTCAGAGCCACTTCCGGTTACTTTCCTGACGTTCATCCGTGTTAGAGATCCACCGTTGAGAAACCGAGGAAACTGGGATGTACGGGGTGTTTAAAAAAGAAAGAGATGTCCGGAAGCACATTTTTGAAATTAGTGTGAGCGAATTGGGAATTACTATTTGTGTATATAAAGGAATCTTACGCTGTTAGATATCAAAGGTGATCCAATCCTTGAGTTAAACGACTTTTTTTGTTATTTTTAACTTCCATACATATATCAAAATTTCAATCATCAATTCACTTTTGTGATTAGTTTAAAAATAAATAACATCCATATTAATATATATGCTTATTAAATAACAAACTAAATTTGGGTTAAATTTAATACACTTTCTTTTCTCGAGTTAAATTTTTTAACTTGATTGTTTTAATTATCATAAATTAATGACATATAGAAATAATAAAAAAATAACTCAAATTGGATATAATTTAATATCGAATTAATTTAATAAAGATTTAGGTTTAGATAATAATAACATATTTAACTAATAGATTTTCGTTAGCCATTTAATTATAAGATACGAATAAATGTCTGAGGTTAAGAGAAACTATTCTCTTACTTACTAATCTTTTCTTATGCATGATATAGTTAATAAATTTAATTCTATAAAAAGAAATATCTCTTAAGGAATATCTTTAAATTCTGCGAGCTGTGTCCTTATATGTTATTATTGCTGCATTTTAGAAGCGACCGTAAAAAAATTTCTGCAATCCTTGCAAAGATAGATTTCGATGAAAATATCGTCAGAGAGAATAAATATATCATGTTATTTCTCGATTAGAAATTCCGTCGGCTTATTAAGATTCTGGTAGCATAAATGTAACATGCATTAAAATTTCATTTATGCTTCGCCATTTTGGTAGAAATGGTATGCCATGAATGAATAAAATGTTTTGCTGTACATAACCGATTTTAGCGTTTTAAGCTGCTTTCCGCTTTAAGATAGAGACGCTTTTAATTTTATCGAGGTGTAAGAAACTGGAACTTTTAAGCATTCATGCGATCATTCTTGATAATTCGCCATTTTCGATACGCTTCCACAATTAATTTTTTATTCGCGGCCGATGCTATATTCGACCTTTCGATGCTCGCTGTTATCAATTACGGCGCGTAAAACTACGGCGGAACTTTTATTTGCGTGGGAAATGACATCGAATTAATTAATTGCGAATGTAAGGTCATCACGAAATAAATCGTGCTATTAAAGTGGAAAAACAAAAGCGAACGCGACGAGGGAGATTGAGATTGATTTATCTAACTCTTTTTAGACTCTGAAATCCACGCGAAATTTATTTTATCAATATCAGGTGAATCAAAGCCATCTTCGCGAGCCAAACTTATCGGGGAATCTGATTTAATTGGACTACTCGCGTAATTAAAACATTGAACTGTGTCAAACATTCAAGAATTCTATAAGAAGCACGGATATTCATATTTCGGGAATTCTAGAATAAAATGAAAATCTAAAAAGATCAGACTTCTATAATAATATTTTAAGTAACATCTCCGAAATGGTTCAAACCGTTTATTCAAACCGATATTTCAAGTAAAGTTACAGACCTCGTTTTATCAAGGAAGGGGGGAGGGGTAGAGAGAGAGAGAGAGAGAGAGAGAGAGAGAGAGAGA